CTACAGCACCATGTACACTCTGTGGCGAGTGTGTTAGCAGGGTGCTTACGCACGCGCATGGCCCAGCAGCCACCTCGGCTCAAACCCCAGCAGCAGCAATTGCACCCCGGATCTTGATAATATAAATTTGGGAGCGGGGCGGGGCAGGGCAGCGGGGGCGCATGGGGCACGCGCGCGTGCGGCGACCTTGGCCTGGGCGCTTGCGCGCACGCGTTGTAATGCGGCTTCCTTTTTCGCCACGTGGAGCTCTCCTGCTGCAGCACCTTCTTTCGTTGTTTTTCCCACTTTTTTGCCCGAAAACGCCCCAGAAACAGCCGAAAACCCGACTGTCCCTGCTGTGCGGTGTGGTGGGTGGGGCCGGGGACCGTTCCCGCTCCGATACCAATGTAGCGGACCCACCGGGTGTGGTGCTCCGCTAGTGACAGAGATGGAGATGGAGGAGGAAGGAGGGAGCAAGGTGCACAGCGCAGTTCCCCACGCAAGACTCCAACGCACGTACTCCAAAATGTGCCAGTGAAGAATGAGGCTGAAAACAGACAGTCTATACACATACGAAGCTCTCCTTCCTTCTTAGGGACAAACAGGACTGGTGCTCTGAAAGGAGACGAACTGGGCTTGATCCAACCTTTCTCGAGGAGATCGTCTAATTGTTTGCATAGCTCCTCTAACTCTCTAGGGGACATCCTGTAGACTGCTCCCTTAGGAGTTCTACTGCCAGGCTCTATCTCTATGTTGTGCTGGATGGGTCGCGGCGACTCAGTTAGATCTTTGAACTCCTCCAGCAGCTTGGCAATAGTTGGATGAACTATCTCCTTCCTTAGGCTCTGTGACAGGTCTAACATAAACTACAAAGACCTGGTCCTCTAATTGCTCCTTTTTCACTAATCGCGCGAACGTGGGAGCACTGAGACAACAATGTGCCAGAGTGTTGTCTACGCCTGACACATGAAACAGGCGGGCAGTCTTAACCTCGCCTGACGGACTAGGGAGCCTACACTCATGCTCTCTCAAATGGAGTGTGGCCCCTGCTGCCTCTCCCCAATCCATTCCTAACACCATATCAAAAGGAAGGTCATCCTGTACGAGGAGAGTCAGGGAATGGAGAACTTTCTCCACCTTCCCATCTTTCTCTAGGCGAAAGTACGCCTGGACTCCCTCTACATAGTCCTCAACTCGCATTGTGCGGTTGTCTGCGAGGACACTGACTATGGGGTCTGCCAACTTCTAGACTTTCAATCCTATCCTCAGCTTCTTCAGCACTTTGCGGCTAATGTAACTGCGGGTGGCCCCTGAGTCTAAAAGGGCCCCTACTCTACTTCTAAACACCTCTACATCGACTAAGATTAGCTGTCCCTTACTCTCCTTCTTCATTTTGGCCCAGGCTGGCATCCTCTCCTTCAGCTCTTCTGCCACACCTGTGAGGGATGTGCCTAGAGAGACGCTAACACAAGCAGTCTCTGGACAACTAGCTAGGCACGGGCCTGCAACCTCTGCCATAGGCTCATGTGGGTTGGGAGTGTCCTGTTCGCGCGTGCTCACTTCTCCACATGGCCAGTAGGGGCAGTTGCAACCCCTATTGGTGGCTGCCTTTTGACTGCTGAGCAGCCCATCGGGCCTGTCTATACTTAGGACAAAATTTAATAACGTGGGCCGGGTCACCACAAAACACGCACTGACCCAAGTCCACGCGTTCCTGCCATATACGCTGGTCCAAGCCCAAATCCTCCCAGGGCCTGCCCTGTGGCAAGCCTGGATGCCATCCTCCTTGAGGTGGCCTTCCACCTCGTCATTGTGGGGACCGACAAGAACCTTGACGATTTGGCGGGGGACCTTGACCCCTACCTCCCACTTGGCGGTTCCCTTGTCCGCCAACCCCCTGTGCGCCTGGTCCTCGGCCTCCCATGGCCTGGCCCCTTTGGCCCTGGCCTCCTCCTCTACTTTGCGGCCTCCCTCCGGCCGCGACAGCAGCATAGGACCTCCCCTGTCCCACGCTACTGTCCTCTTCCTCAAGGCCCCATTCGATCTGACTGTATAGGACCTCATATGTACCACCTTCCTCTAAAGTAAGGATCATATGATCCTTGGCCCTCACTTGGCCTCAGATGGTACGACCTTTCCACTTATTCCCCGTGTCCAAGTCCTTATGCCAGAAAATGGAAATTGGCATGGACTTTGACTCATACAGGACCACCTCTCTACTCAGCACGTCATAGGTGATGTTGGCCTATTGAGACTTCTCAAAGAAATGCCCACGCAAAGGCTCTGGCATGGCACGGTAAAATACCTGGACCAACTGGGGCTCAGTGAGCCCGTGGTCTGGGATGGCTACCAAGTCGTCCATAACGCCCTTGAGTGTTGTTGCACTCCTCCACTGCCGTGAGTGCATCGTCTGTAACTTATCAGAGGCCCTGACGCCTCTCGTTGGATCAACAAATCGCTCCCTCAGGAGCTTGAAGAATTGAGGAAGGGGAGTGACTTTAGAGTATGCAACCAGGTTGTTTTCACAACCTGCTGCGCGCGCAAGAGATCTGGCAAAACTGGTCGCTTTATCTTTAAGGGCTTGGAAGGCGACGAGGACTTGCTCCTCAGTCAAGATGTGCTGTAAATAACCGTAGTTGTTGACGCTCGCCTCCCAGTTATCAAAATTCTCCTCCTTCTTCCCTCCATAGGCATCTGGGAATTTAAGCTTAACAGGCTCCTTACGGGGCCTGACTTCACCCTCTACAGCGGCTATTGCCTTGGCACCTTCGATGGCGCCCTCGCAGAACTTGCCCACGCTGTCTCTCAATCTCCTAACTTCTCCTCCAACGTGGGTAACCATATCGCGCACGGAGTCTCTAAATCCTAACCGCATGGCACTCAGTGCTATCTCTTGGCTCCTGCTGGCCTGGCGCTCCCCCATCCAGGCTGCACTCAACAACTCTACATACCCCAACACCTTATCCATCTTGGCAGACATATCCGTCTGCGCCTCCATTTCTTGTCTGCAGTCCTTCAATTTTGCCACTTCTGCGGTCAATCTATTAGCTTCATCCCTCCTCTTCTTCTCCCTCTTCATCCTCAGTTTCCACTCCAACTTCTTTTCTTCTTCTCTTTCCCTCCGTTCCAGAGGGTCTTCCATTGCCGCTAACTCCCTGGCTAACGCATCCCTCTCATCCTGAGGCACATAAAACTTCGCCTCCTCGTCTTCCCCCAACGATAAATTAGCGATCCACTCACTTATCTTTTTCTCCATCTCTGCGTCCTCATCCCTCTTCGTGCCACTACTCTCCTCCCTACTTTCAATACGCATTCTCTTTTTTTCTTCTTCTGCTGCTGCTTCCTCTTCAACAACCTTTCTCCTCTCTTCCTCTTCCTGCTGAACTCTCTTCATCTCCTCCTCCAATTTCCTCATCTTCGCCGCCTGCTCCTCTGCGATTGTCTTTAACTTCGCCTGTTTCTCGAGCTCTTTCCTCTCCTTATTTTCTCTCACTAAGGCGGCCATCTTCTCTTGTTGTTCCTGGGTATAGGGGCTAGTGCTCTTCCCACTTCGGGTGTCAACCATGGTGATCAGTGCACAACCGGATTAACGGTTTCAAACCTCACCACGTAGACTCTAACCCCTGACTGACAACTTACTGACTCGATCTAAGACTCACAGAATCCTGACAGGGATCCTGCTAACTAGGGTCTCTAGCCTAGACCTAACTATGGCTGTCACTACTAGACCTGTTGATGATCAGGAGGCATTTAAGCAGATCCCCTGTAACTCCTCAGGAATTATTTAACGTCGCAGATAGGACAACGCGATCAACAGGTCTCTCAACACTTAAACGGCCTGTTGTGCAGCCCACAGCTTGGATTTTGGGCCTACCGTGCCACACCGAGCAGCCCGCCGGTCAGTACCGGTCCTTGGGAGGGTTAGGCCTCCGCGACAGTCGAGTCGTCAGAAACAGTCTTTAGCCCTACTCAGCCCGTGTGGGTTTGGTCAGTCTGAGTGGCGTAAGAGTAGAAGGATTGAGACTTTTGATGGTGTCTAGTATCAAGGGGTTGCGGGGAGGAAGGTGATAGCGCCATGATAGTAAAGCTCTTATCATCTTCTTCTTAATATTTCCATGATTTTGTAATTTTTCTCTCAAGGCCCTATCCTTCATCCACAGAGTACTATCACCTAGACAGAAGAGACTCAATGCAGAAAGAAGAGACAGACAGACTGGACTCAGCAAGTACCACAGGGTGTGTGCACATCCATAGGGCGAGGGATAGGCTGAAGGCTTGGCGAGATTTTACCGGCTCCAGCTTGGTCAAAGTCTTGGTCAACGCCTTGGTCAACGCCGGTCAACGCTGCGGTCAACTCCCGGTCAACTCCCGGTCAACTCCCAGTCAACTCCGGTCAACTCCGGTCAACGCCGGTCAACACCTCCGATCAACTCTCCCGATCAACCCTTCGGTTAGCTATGGCTGTCGGCTTCTCTTTCCCTCACCAACCTTCTTCTTCCCTTCACCTTCCTCGCCTCCTTTCACCCTGCTGTCTTTTTTTATTTTTATCATCTCTCTCTCTCTTTGCCTCCTCGGCTATGGCTTCTCTCTCCTTTCTCAGTCTACCCCTCTGTCCACTCTCTCTCCCTCCTTCGTCAGTCCGTGGTCAAGCTCCGCGGCTATGGCCGCAATCTTCTTCTTCGTGGACTGCGCGGCAACTCCACAGGTACGTAACAGCCAA